AAAAAAAAAAAAAAAAAAAAGTAGTACTCAATATATGTATCCTAAAGCAGTATTTTCCTGCTGAGAGCCCAGACAGTAGGTAGGTTGAATTCAATTACTGGATTTCAGATTCAGATGAGAAGTTACACACGATCTCCTTTAATGTCTTGTTCCATCTTGATATTTTATCATTTGTTTACATTTAACTTTTCAAGTGTACATGCCTCGCTTCTCTAACCTTCAGCATTCAGAATCTGCAGGTTTAGCGTAAAGCAGGCTTTTTGTAAACATCAGTACTACTGACATTTTGGGCTAGATGATTCATTTTTTTGTTTTTGTTTTTTGAGACAGAGTCTTGCTCTGTCACCCAGGCCGGAGTGCAGTGGTATGACTTGGCTCACTGCAACCTCCGCCTCCCGGGTTCAAGCAATTCTCCTGCCTCAACCTCTCAAGTAGCTGAGACTACAGGCATGCACCACCATGCCCAGCTAATTTTGTACTTTTAGTAGAGACGGGGTTTCACCATATTGGCCAGGCTGGTCTTGAACTCCTGACCTCGTGAGCCGCCCGCCTCAGCCTCCCAAAGTGGATAATTCTTTATTGTGGGAGCCCACGTACTAGATGACATTACACATACACACATCCAGTTGTGACAATTAAAAATGTCTCCAGACATTGCCCATGTCTCCTGGGGAAAGGGGGAAGGAGCAACATAACCCCAGTTGAGAAGCACTAGCCTGAAGGGCATCGTTGATTGCTGCTATGTTAATATGCCACCACATTTCCCTAGGATGTTTATCAGACTATTCCAAAGGTAAGTAAAATGATACTTCTTTTTCTAATCCACCAGTAAATGAAGGCATAACTAGGTATGATGCTTAGCTCACATTATCATTATTAAAAGATATGGAAAAGCAAACATATATATACATATATATTTCTTCCTGTTAAGCAGGAAGTGCCAACATATAGAATTTTAAATAGAGAAGTAAATATATAGGGACATAAGAGAGACAGTCTATTGAAATTTCTCATACTATGCTTTCTTTTATATATTATTCATATTTATATAT